TACATTTAATGTAGTTATCAATATGGGTGAGTTTAAATCTGACATCTTGCTATTTGTTTTGTCTGTCTTATGTTGCTTTTCTCCTCTTTTTATGATTACTTTTGGATTCATTTTGTGACTATATTATCTTCATAGTTGGTGATTGACTACACCTCTTTGTTTTACTTTAATAATTGTTCTAAGGTTTACCTATACATCTTATTACAGCCTGCTTTCAAATAATACATCGCTACTGTTGGAAAGTTCTTAATGTTTGTTTCCTTTCTCCTGTCATTGCTGCTGTCATCATACACTATACATCTAATATGCTATGAGTGCCACAATTTGTTGTCATTATTTTAGCTTTAAAACAGTTGTCTTTTAATTTACAAAATAAGGGTAAAAATATTTTGTGTGATTCATATTTACCATTCCTGGTGCCCTCTGCTATAATTTTCCTCTGCCTCATAAACCTTTAGCATTTGAGATTCAGGTTTTCTGTGCAAATTGCCTTAGCTTATTTCTTGAAAGTATTTCACTTTCATTCAGAAGTGTTTTTGTTGGATATAGAATTCTAAGTTGACAGTCTTTTGTTTGATTCTTTAAGATGTTGCTTCTTGTCTTTCAGCTTTGAGGGTTTCTGATGAGATACCTGCTGTTATTCTCTGTTCTGCCTTTTTTTCTCAGACTGCTTTAAGATTTTCTTTATCATTGGTTTTCAGCATTTTGATGACTAGGTATTTTTTTGCTGTGGTTTTCTTTGTTATCATCCCTGCTTGGTGTGCGTTCAGCCTCTTAGATCTGTGGGCTTTATTATTTTCCTCATATTTGGGAATGTTCTGGCCACGAATCTTCAAATATTTTTGCTCTTTCCGTAGTCCCCTCTCTTGTTTTCTGAGAGTAAGTAAACAAATTTTATTTTCTTAGCTCATCTTCAAGTTTCCTTCTTATTCCTTGAATGTATGGAATATATTTATAATTGCTTTTTAACATCTTTACATGCTACTTCATCCATCATCTTTGTATTTTCTGGATCTGCTTTTGTTGGTTGAATTTTCTCCTGCTCCTTTTTATGCCTGGTAATTTGTGATTACTTGCCATACTTTGTGACTCCACATTTTTGGGTGCTAAGTTTTGTTATTTTACATTTTCTAGACTTTATTCTAAGGTATAGTTGTTACTTGGATTCTATTTCTCTTTCAAGAGTTGTTCTCAAATGTCATGAGTACTGGACCAGAACCGCCTTGAGTCTGGGGCTAAGTGGTCCCATGGCTGAGATAACACTCTTCTGAGGACTTTACCTGATTCCCTGTGTGTTACAAGGTTTTTGCATTAAAGCTGATGGGAACGTGAGTTATCTCCAACTCTGTGTGAGATCTGGGAATGGTGTGGCTTACCACTTTGCAGTGCTTCTTTGCCCAGTTATGATTAGTTTCCTCTCATGCTTTTTCAGATCAGTCCTCAGCCATAGAATTGAAGAGATCCCTTAGCAAATCTCCAGTGCTTTCCCTATCACTCTAGTACTCTGTCCCACAAAGTCTAGCTGTGTCAGCTTCCCCAAACCCTCCTCCCTCTCCCCCACCCCAACAGCTTACTGAGTTCTAGTTAGGGTCTTCCTCCCTGAAGAAAATGGAAAAGAGGGAGATGAACTCAGACTCACTTGGTTGAGGGCCAGAGCTTGCTTCGGTGGGAATGCTGCTTTGATGTGAGGGGTAGTGCTCTGGGAGTCCACATAGCAGCCATTTGGGGCATGTTCTGATGGCACAGTGCACAGAATACCTGTTCCCATACATTTAAGAAAAGGTTACTTGCTCTTCAGAGATCTAATCACCAGTTTGACACGGGGCATTCTCAGAAAATGTAGAGGATTGACTTTGACTTTGTAATGTTATTTCTCTCAGTTCCTGTGACATAAAGTATACAGAGGGAGTACAGTCCCTCAACTGGACTAAAATCATGAAGACTATTGTTGATGACCCTGAAGGCTTCTTCGAACAAGGTGGCTGGTCTTTCCTGGAGCCTGAGGGTGAGGTGCGTGAGTGTGGGGTTTCTTTTCTGCTATATAGTTGCCCATTATTATTTGGGCATTTAGGATAATGCCATATAAGTAGTGCATAAGGGACAAGCCCAAGTGGGAAAATCTCTGAACACATCTTCGTATTATTGTTTCTTCAAATTTTTACAGGTAAATGATAAATCAATTGGTTATCGGTAGCCATTGACAAGATTTCCTTGAAATTACAAAAACGATTCTTTCGATGAATGTCTTAGTATTTGGGAAAAAATCCTTAAGAGGATTTTGCAAAAATTGTTTTCTAAAAAATGGTCCTCCCACCTCTGCCTAATGCATTATTACCAAGAGTATTTCTGCAGTTACTGTTCCTGGGCAAGGAAGGGTGAAGCAAATCTGTAAGAAATATTAATTTTGAATTAGATATTTAGGGTATCTAATACACAGGAAATAATATTATTCTTTTTCTAATTCACCAGGGTAGTGATGCTGAGGAAGGGGATTCAGAGTCTGAAATCGAAGATGAGACTTTTAATCCTTCAGAGGATGACTATGAGGAAGAAGAAGAGGACAGTGATGAAGATTATTCATCAGAAGCTGAAGAATCAGGTTAGTCTTCACAGGGAAAAATTTCTGTGGCTTCTAATCTAATGTCATTTCTGGAAACTACTTTTTTAGAAGGGAAGAATTCTGTCATTTCATTCCATTTCAGTCTAATGACTAATGCTTAATCAATTTTATTCCAGACTATTCCAAGGAATCACTGGGCAGTGAAGAAGAAAGCGGAAAGGATTGGGATGAACTAGAGGAAGAAGCCCGAAAAGGTAAATTTTTTTATTCGGGTTTGTTTGTTTTATTTTTTGAGGCACCAGTATCTAACAGATTGTAGTCCTTACCCCATCAGAGGAAACAAGGTCTGGGATGTGTCTTTATTCTCCAAGGGGCGTGACTGCCTAATTGGATGCTTTTTTGATCTACGCAAGCCCCCAATGGACCCATTGCCATGACAGCCACAAGTCTTATCAGGCTCCAGAATTAGGCCACTCAGTTTCCAAACCTAAGTCCTGTAATAGTCTAGCTTTCTAGGCCTCTTCTAGGTTAGGAATGATTTTATAGTGCCAGTTTAATTACTCTGAAATCAAATACCAAATGTAAATTAAAGATGAAAGGAAATATTATCTACTGTATCCTAAGCATTATGATAGGTACTTTGCATAGATTATTTTATTTAATCCTAAAACAGTTTTTCCATTTTATAAACAAACCAAGGCTCAGAAACGTTCAGTACTTGCCCAAGATCACACAACTTGTGAGTGACTGAGTAAAGATTAAAACTTAGGTCTAACTCCAGACTATGTTCTCTGTACTATTCCATGCTATCCAGTAGCATTAGGTTACCTAAAGCTAACTTATATCCAACTAGAAATACCTCCTTCTTCTATTTAGCGGACCGTGAAAGTCGTTATGAGGAAGAAGAAGAACAGAGTCGAAGTATGAGCCGGAAGAGGAAGGCATCTGTGCACAGTTCAGGCCGTGGCTCTAACCGTGGTTCCAGACACAGCTCTGCACCCCCCAAGAAAAAGAGGAAGTAACTTCTGAACTTTGGCCCTCAGTTCCATTCTTCTCCTGCCAATCCCTGAAAATTTTACATGACAGAAACTGTATTTTTCCTTTTTTTTTCTTTTGAAGTTTCGCCATTTGTGTTTATGGGTTTAGGGGGCCATTTGTGTGGACCAATTTACTCGGGGAATTCCAGGCCCACCAGGACACGTGCCAATGGCCCCATCCAGCTGGCAAGGCGGGAGGTGTTCTTGAAGGAGGGCAGAGGCTTCCGCTGTTAATACCGTTCCATTCCTCTCTCTTCCTGTCACCTTCTGCCAGGACATCAGTGGCTCTGACATCTTATTCTTTGATGTCTCAAAGCTGTATTTTGAAGATGTTGGTACAAGGTGACTTTTAACTACTTGTACCACAGTTCTTAACCAGCAGATTCAATCCTCCATCCTACCCTACTGCCATGACCTTCCTCACATCTCTTTAAGTTCCATCTTTTCAATACTCAAGAACAGGTTCTTAGAATTTGCCAACGATTGTGATAAACCATACAACTTGAGCTAGTGAGGCAGATCAGGTGGTATCTCTGAGTTTTCCTGCTTTCTTGTCTCATGCAGATTCTGGGGTATTTCTGCTGCCTTGGAAGACATAAGAAGCAGTGACACTCCCTGGGTTGGTCTCACCCTCCTTTCAAATTCACACATGGTACATTGGTAGAAACAAAATTACCATTGTTTATTTTCTGATATACCTGAGTAAGAATGGTATATAATGCTTCTAGTGAAATCTAGGAGGCGGCTCAAAAGAGTGAACGTTTAGATCTGGAAGGGGCAAGAGTGAGTCATGCCTTGGGCCTAGAATACCCTGATGAGGAAAGAAAAGAGGAAGGGAGGCCACATCTACAGCATGACCTCTCTTCACTGCTGCTTATTTTTATTTGTCTTGCATTGTCCTGTATTTATCACAGTTTCTGTTGAACAGCTTTTTAAGTATTTGGGGAGTTTATCTTGCCATCCTCCCCCTCCTGGTTCTCTGCACCCACCTGTTCCACTGCAGTTCATTCTGTGTTCTGTGACTTTTAAGAGAGGAGGGGGGAGGGGTCTCAGATTTTGTTTGTTTGTTTGTTTGTTTTTTTCTCCTTAGCAGTAGGACTTGATATTTTCAATTTTGGAAGAACTAAAAGATAAATAAACTGTGGTGTTTTTTTTTTTTTTTTTTGGTGGTGGTGTTTTTGTAAATTCAATTTTTGTGACAGTTCTTTTTCAGTTCCTGCTAAGGTGTTAGAAGATAATGCCTTTATTCAGCTAGTATCACAAAAATAAACTTTCCTATTCCAAGCTTTCATGATTAGATTGAGAGATCACAGTAAACCAAATTCACAGTATAGCAAGTTGCTGTATAAAAGACTTTTTACTATGGCTCCCTCAGAGTATAGAGTGGAATAGCACTTGTTCTATCATGAAATCAAATCTGCAGTCATCTCCTGGTAAATAGCATGGAATGCAGCAGCAGCTTGAAGGGACACCTTCAGACTTCCTATTGGAGTAGCCTGGTCTGCGGGGCTAACAACTGTTGGGAAAGGTAAAAAACCGTGTCAGGCAGGCAGCACCATTATTCAGTGAAAAATCACACGTTGCATGCTAGCAATACTAATAATAACTACTTCATTTCTTAGGGGGACTCAGTCTAGTGGAAGACAGAGGAAAGCATAGTTACTACGGTATGGTAAGTGCTGTGATGGAAACCCAAGGTGCTTTGGGAACTCGAAGCAGCACGTAACCCAGAATGGAGGAACTGGAAAAGGCTTTCTGGAGACAATCCCTGAACAGTCTTTAAAATGTAAAATGTAAAAGATTTTAAACATATGCCAAGACATGAGAACATGGTGAGTTGAAAATTGCAAGCAGTGGCAGAAATGAAGCTATGCAGATAAGCAGGGGCCAGATCATAAAGGGCCTTATTTATCTTCCAAGGACTTTGGTTTTAACTGAACATATTAGTGATGATATTTGTTTTAGGTTCTAGAAAAATGACTCCATTATTTGGGTAGTGTATTCAAAGGGGCACAAATAGATCACGAAGGATAGTTAAGACACTGTTGCAGTAATTCAGGAGAGAAATGAAGGGGTCTGAAGCATGACACTGAGGGTAGGGAGGTGGGGACAGGTTCAGAATATTTAAACAGGTAAAATACAATAGAATTTTGTGATTGAATGTTGGGGAGTGAGGAGAAGGTTGGAATCAAGAATGACCATTTTGATGAGAGAGAAGATGAATGGTGGATAAGAGGGAACATTAAGGTATGAGGTAGTGGGGGCCGGGGAGGTATTAAGAGCATAGAGGTAGTGACTATTTGCTGTAAGTCTAGATTGTTTTAAAAACCTGGTCTAGAAACCCAGACTTGGGATCATTTCTAGGTTATAATTAAAATCATGAGAAGACGCAAACACCTAGAAAAGGGTATTACGTAGAATAAAGCCAAGAATTGAACCAGAGGAGTCCAACATTCAAATGCAGGAAGAAGAACCTGCGAAGGAAACAAAAGAATCCTCCAGGGAGTGATATGAATGGCCTAAAATGGCCTAAAAATCGAGGGAGAAGAGTTTAAAGAATGAGAAAATTCAAGTAGGATGACTAGAAAACCAACTGGATTTGGCAGTAAGGAAAATTAGTATGAACAGAATCTGAAGTGTTTGGATGGAAACTTGATCTTAATTGAATATAAGAGATCCCAAAACAGTATTGTAGGCTGACTGACCATTCTGCATTTCAAGGAGCTGAGTTTTTAAGTGGTAAGAGAAAATCTAGCTTCAGAGCTAGACGTTTGGAAGCCTGAATGGAAGAGGAGTCATAACAATAAGAAAATCACTATAAATTTTTCTTTTGATGATTAAAAAGAAAATTGAGAAGCATTCATTGGCTTTAGGGATCACTAGAAAAGGCTTAAGAGTATTTCCCTCACGTACAAAGGGCATGGAGACCAGGAAGGACATGGCACATTTTAGGAGGGACAGGAATAGAAATTGGGAGCAAGAGTTGGGAGAAAAACCTAACAGAGGTGGCACCTGCGATGTGCCAAGCACTTTACTTAATCTTCCCTTTATCCTTCAAGTGCTCCCTTAATCCTCATGACACCTGTTACGAGATAGGAGCCTCTCATTCTCATAGTTGAAACAGGCACAGAGCAGTTAAATTTAATTTGCCAAATATCACAGTTAACTAGAGGAATTTAATGAATCTTGTCTACCAATAAAAGTTTGAACTTTGTAACCCTTGGTCTGAAGAGTTTTCCTCAAAATGTATAATTAGTAAAAATTGTATGACTCAAATATGGACATAAGTTTCACAAAATATTTACTATGTGCAATGTATTTTGATATTTTGAGTTTTTCCCTTCAAAATCTTACTAACTTAATTTCACCATCCACTTTACATGAGTAAAGTTCGAAAAGCATTGGTCTACTGGGTAGTCTGAAATGAGTGCCTCCTACAGCCTAGCAGCTAAGGTAAATGTGAAATAGCAGGTGTGTCAGGTAACGGAGGAGTGAGGACTGGACAGAGCAGGCCCACCTAAAGGCGTTCAAATGCAAATGTTTTAAGAACAAGTTGGTCTTAGAGCAAACAGTCTTAAACATGGATTTAAGAAGAACGTGGTGATCAAAGGTATAGGAACACTGTATATGGAAATGGGATGGAAGAAACCAGGGGCCCAGAAACCTGTTCAGAAACTATTACAGCAGTGGGGATGTAGTTAAGACACTTCTGCAGTAGAGTGGATAAGACTTGGTCACCAATATTGCAAGATGTGAGGGAAGAGGAGAGTTAATGTCTATTTAATAAACCGGATGCATGATAAGGCATTAAAAGAAAAAGGGTATTAGCTGCCTTTACAAACTTTATATACTTGGGAGATGACAGAAATTCTGGTGTTTAAATTCGATTGAAATTAAAAGAACTTGTCTTCAAAATTTTCCTATCTGAATCACTGGGGATTCATACGAGATTCTAGTCATCATGAGGTATATGGGCTAAAATAGACAACTGACTATTCTCAGGCTTGATCTAGAAATAAATAGAGCTGTAGGGATTTCAATCCAGCTTGCGTCTCATAAATTTTGTAGCAGTAATTATGTGCTGAAGATGAAACAGGAAAAGTATTTGTCATTAGGACGATTTCCATAGAAACACGTGAAACTGAGAAGCACAAGAAAATATATTACTCACTGTCTAGCTCTTGCTCTAGAATGTCTCCTCCTGATTCCATGATCTGCCACAGTTCCAGATACGCGTATCCTACTTCTTGACATTCTTTCTGTTCATCATCCATAGGATCACTCACCACTGTAAACTTTAAACTGTGAGTGGGGTGGCGGGGGGGGGGGGGCAGAAATTACACTTAGCTTAGCACTGCTGATACCTTTAGGCCTAAAAAAAATAAGGCTAAAAGTAATCATAAGTTAGACAATGTCTTCTTCGAATCACTTTTTCTTTGCCTTCATTTTACAAAACTACAACAGCAAAATAGTAAGTAATTGGTATAATTAAAGTAACAACTGGCCTTGAGGAGAAGGGACTATGAGACTCAAGATAATGTCATTGATCAAGTTGTCTCAGAACAGTTGAGATTTAATTCCTTGTAAGATGGTTTACAATTTTGATGAAAGATTTAATGTGGGCAGTGGAGATGTTGCACAAAAACCAATATTACAGGAGAATTTAGAAGAAAAGTTTTTAAATTTGTAAGTAAAAGCTGGGTACTAAGCCTGAGCACAGTGAAAAGAACAGAAGGGACACAGAATTGCAGAACAAATATAAAAAGAGTATTTCTTAAAGTTGTAAGTCTTGGAAGATGATGTAAAGCACATAGCACAGTGAGCAGTCAACAGTTATTATTACCTTGATTTAGCCCAGCAAAGAATGATACCGAATTCCACAGACTGGCACCTACTAAATATTTTTCGAAAAATTCAAATGCTATAAATTCATCATGTTAACCATTTTAAAGTGTACCATTCAGTGTTTTTTTAGTATCACAATCTTGCACAACCATCACCACTATCTAATTCCAGATCATGTTCGTCATCCCCAAAAGAAACCCTACAACCATTAGGCAGTCCTTCTCCATTCCCCTCCACCTCCACTCCCGGTGACTACTAATCTATTTTCTGTCTCTCAATTTGCCTATTCTGGACATTTCATAATCCTATTACTTTTTTAAAAGCCCTTAAAATCACGGCTAAATACAAATTCTGAAATTGATACATTCTTAGCCCATTAAGCAATACTCATTTATGGTTATGTTTCTGTTATGATTACCGAGAACTTCGACAATGAAAAGGGATAATAGCAACTCCCACACCCCAATTCTCCCAGGAAAGGGATGGTAACTATTATTACTACATGCTGGGCACAATACCAAGTGCTTTAGGTAAACTATGTTTCAGTTTTATACTCACAGGAGCCTTCAAGTTAAATAATAACTTAGAGATCATAAAGCTAGTTAGGGAAAGAGTCAGAATTGAAAACCAGGTCTGTCTGATTACAAAGAAAATGTTCTGTCCACTGCACCATACTGGCAAAAAGAAAGTCAAAGGTAAAATCAACTGAAATCTAAAATTGATTGGGAGGTTACAAAAAGAAAAAGAAAAAAGAAAGTTACTAGCATATGGAAATAAAGAAAGAGTTCTAGGAATGCTGAGAGAAAAAAGAAAAAGCTAAATTTAACATAATGCAAAAGGGAAACAACCAAGTCACTTTTCTTTTCCAAAAGTTGCCAGTAAGTTTATATCTATTTTAAAAGTTCGTCATGATTCTGAAGTCAGCTTCACTGTTTTTTTTTAAGCTACCTCTTGTTTCGGTTCTTTCTATGACTAACTGAAGACAAAGTAAGTGAAAATTAAATAAATTTATTGGGCTGATTGAAAAATCATGAATTAAAACACTGTCCCTATATTATTTCTTAATCACACACATGGAAAGGAAGTAGGGTTGCCAGATTTTGGAAAGAAGGGAGGGAGGGAGGAACCCAAAACAGATGCCTATTTAAATTTCAATTTCAGATTTCAGCTAAACAATGAATAATTTTTTTTAGGTATAAGTATGTCCCTTACATTTCACCTGGAACCTCTCAAAGGAGGCCTCCTCAGATTACAGGAATAATGACAATTGACTTTACTAAAACTCACAGTAGACCTAAATTGACTTCAGTTATACCCAAGTGTTGCCTGTAGAGAAACAATATTTAAAATCTAAATAAAAGCAATACTCATTTATGGTTATGTTTCTGTTATGATTACCAAGGACTTCGACAATGAAAAGGGATAATAGCAACTCCCACACCCCAATTCTCCCAGGAAAGGGATGGTAATATTATAAAGACATAATATTTGGTAAGCTGGCAATGCTTCTGCGTTTGTGAGAAATGAATCAAATTATCTTAAAATGCTGAAGCAGTTTGTCCATTCCATATAGTGCACTGTCAGTATTCAAGTAAATTGCTGGCTTAAAAAAAATACTTAGGTGCTGGTATGTGTGAGAAATGAACTAAACATATGAGATTATATACTTTATCAGATAGTTAGCCATGAATATAAGACTCAAGTAGATGAGAAACTCATTAAGAGTAAATTAATGTAAAAGAACTTGTTTAAAATATAATATCAGCACAAAACCAAGCAAACTCTGATTCCCATGTGAATATCCCCTTTGTTTCAAACTGGAAAGTAAATTTTTACCATCCTTGCTCAGGACCTTGTCTGTTCAGCATGGAGAAGAGAAATTGTCTTCGGCCTTTTTGCTCCACTGGGTCCAGGTCTATCACTGTATTAGGGGAAGAGGGGAAAAAAGCAATCATACACTTTTGCTATTTGGGCACTAAGACTTCCATAAGCAATGTATAAAAAATAGAAATTGGAAAAACTAGGACCCATGGTCTGGACACTCGTTTTCATAAAGTTTCATTGAGCAAGCCGTGCTGATTTATTTACAAATTATCTGTGGCTGCTTTACAACTACAATGATAGAGTTGAATAGTTGTGAATAGAGACAGTTTGGCTCACAAAGCCTAAAAATATTTACTCTGGCCCTTTAAGGAACAGTTTGTCAACCTTTGATATAAAGGAAGCCATACATTCTGCACTGAAAGCTATTCTGCCATATGCCAATATAAATGTGCTCCCACCACTTCACAGGCAGAAGAGTTCTGGGAGACATTCTTTTTAAACCACCTAGAGATCTGGGTTTTGTGGCAGTTCAACTTAAGGTGCAGTCCGCCCTTTCCTCCTCATTTTTATACGGGAATGTTTCAGCCTCCAATAAATTGACATATGTGTTCCAGCCTCTTCTTCAGCTAGGTTTGGCCACATGATTAAGTTCTAACCACTATGTTGTATGAAACCTGCCTAATAGGCTCAGCTGGGAGGCATTCTTCCTTTTACCAGCAGCCATTAAGGACCATGGAGTAACTGAGTAAAAGGATGGAGGACAGGCACCTAGGTGGTAGAATGACAAGATAGAAGTTTGGACCCCTGATGGTATTACAGAGCCTCAGCTCTGAACTGCCTACCTGTGAACTCATTTTACACAAGTGTGAAATAAACTTCTATCTGGTATTGAGAGGATATGCTTTTTTAAAAAAAAAAAATATGAAAAACAAGAAACTGCTCTTATAAACTTAAAATATTCAGTCAATGACTGAATGATAAAATTAAGGAAATCTCTCAAAAATTGAAAGAAAAAACAGAGGTAGAATTATAGGAAGAAAATGATAAAATTAGAGGGTCAATTTGGAAGATGCAAATTTTACTATGAAAACAAGAAAATGTTAGAGAAAATTATCAAAGAAATGCAATACTTCCCAGAACGAAAAGCCACGAGCTTCCAGATTTAAAAGAGTGTACAGAGTGGCCAGAACAATTAAAGAAAAAAAAATGCACATTACTCTGAAATTTAAGAACACTGGCAATAAAGAGGAAATGTTAAAATCTTTTGGGGAGGGAAAGGATAGTGTTCACACCAAGATTACACTGCTGGCCTAGCTCTAGAAAACCACAGACCAACTGCTTTGAAATTCTTCATAAAAATGTTTTCAGAATAGGTGTCTCTGCTCAGTCTAATTATCAACTGAATATACAGGTAAAATAAAGAAATTTCAAGCATGACTGTCTCAAAATATTTACTGGAAATTATGATCCATTAAAATAAGAAAGCAAGTCAGAAGGACAGGAGACAGGAAATCTAGAATAAGAGAGAATAAAATAAATTTTCTAAATAGCAGCAGTGGCAGTAGCTGAACTGTAGGCTAGAAAGGATGAGAAGTCTTCAGGAAAAAATAGATAAATTACTTGGCAAGTCTGATTATTGGAACATTTGGAAAGGCTAATAGAGGATGTAAAGAGAATTACAAAAGTAATAATAAAAATAAAGCAAATGAAAAATGGAGGCAAGTAAAAAAAATAAACAAAAAAGGAAATATGGTGTTTTCCTTGGCTCTGCAAGAATTAATATTTATATGTTGATAATAATAGATACAATTAAGATTGAATTAAATAAAAAATTATGATCCAATTATTTAGGAGGAAGGAAACAGGTGTGGTGTGAGAGAAATTTTATGTTCCAAGATAGGAAGCCAGCAGATAATCTCTAAAGTTGGTGAATCAGAAAATTACAATAGAAACATTACTCAGAAATATTGAGTTAAATAACAGAAGAAATAACAGAAAAAGTGAAAAGTGGTATGGTGGACTGAGGGGTGAGGGGAAGGGCAAAGGAGTTATTTTTAGAGAAGGGGTGGGGCAAAGGATTGTTTACTTTTTTAAGAGGATTTTATTTATTTATTTTTAGAAAGAGGAGAAGGAAGGGAGAAAGAGAGGGAGAGAAACATCAATCAGTTGTCTCTTACATGCCCCCAACTTGGGACCTGGCCCACAACCCAGGCATGTGCTCTGACTGGGAATCGAATCAGCGACCTTCTCATTCACAAGCACTCAGTCCATGGAGCCACACCAGCCAGAGCTGTTTACTTTTAATTTAAAATCTTTTTAAGTCTATTTGATCATTTTAAACATATGCAAATACTATTTTAATGAACAAAAAAGGGTTGGATCTACCCCATCAGAAGTCCAGAGTAGTTCTAACCCCTTGTTCTTAACATCTGTCAGCCCCCTCTTCCCGCGGACCACAGGGGATGCCTCACCCTTGCAAAAGTGGAAGTAGATCTCTTCTCCTTCCCTCGGTTTCCTCAGAGATACTGGAGTCTCTGTCTCTGACAAAGGTAGATCGTAGAACTTGTACTCCACATACACCTGTCTTACATTCTCATCAGACATCACTTCAGCTTCTGAGTAGAAGGCCAGGCTGACAATTTCAATGCACATCTTCTCTGAACTCTGATAAGAGGAGGACATTTATTTCCTATAGGTTAGTGATACTCCCAGGATATATACTCAACTTAATTAGCACATTACTCTCCATCAATCACAGGCATGCTCCATCTACTATATTACTCTTTGAGAATCAATTTACATGTAAAACTGGCACCAAGAGAACTTGACTGAACTGTCGTCTAGTGTGTCATTCTACCTCCAAGTCCAGTGACTCATATTCTCAGCCAGCCTTTCTGAGCCATCTCCTCATATAGAAAGACTTTCTGAGAATCAAGGTGGCGGAGGAGTGACTGAAAGTCACACTGACTTCCTCCCAGGACCAACCTGGAATTACAACTAAATTGTGGAGAAATAACCTGGAACAAACAACTGAACAATAGCAAAAGAGGAGCCTTATAACCTTGGACAGACAGAAGAGTCAGCTTTAGTACAACCTCACTGGTAAGGAGTGTGGTAGAGACTCGAGAAGGCAGGCAGGGTGCTCACGTGTGGCAGGACCAGATGGATATTGAACCAGCCAGTTGGATCCCCCAGAGAAGAGAGGGGTCTAAACCATTAGTGGGGCTCTCCAGCCTAGAGCACCAGAATCCAAAAAGTACACAGATAACAGCCAGCTGCAAAAAGTGGCAGAGTTGCTCTCTGCCAGAGACAGTCAGCTGGGGATGCAAAGAGTCATTTAAAGGGCCAACGCATAAATTTTTATTTGCAGCCCCTTACCCTGGGCTTTGGCAAAGGCAGCGGCAGAGTGGACTAGAGATGCCTGAGGAGAGGCTGGGGAAGGAGGCTTTGGGGAGAGAACTGAGCGAGTAGCCAGCAGGATCCCAGTGCTGACTCGTCCCCCATATGGCAGCAGCCATCTTGCTCAGGCAGACCACTCCCCTGAGCGCCAAGAGTGCGAGAGGACCCAATAGCCCCACCCCCAGGAGGGCCTCTGCCCTGCCGTGTGGTGGCTCTAAGCTAGCCTGCTGAGTAGAGAGTGGCAGCCACAGATAGTAGATCCCTGGCTAAAGGGATGTGGAGTGGTCTAGAGACACTTGAAGAGAGACTGGAGACAGAAGCTTTGGGGAGAGAACGGAGAGAGTAGCTGGCAGGATCCCGGTGATGACTTCTCCCCCATATGGCAGCAGCCATCTGGCTCAGGCAGACCACTCCCCTGAGAGGCAGCAGCGTGAGAAGACCCAATGACCCCGCCCCCAGGAGGGACTCTGCCACACACTGTGGTGTCTAAGCCGGCCTGCTGAGTGCAGAGTGACTAGATTAGCAGCTGAAGGAGACAGCCACAGACAGTAGATTCCTGGAAGTCTCGAACAGACTGCTTAACGTCAGACAACGTCAACATCTGACATCATCAGAGGTATATCCAGAAAGAAAAAGCAGCAGTCTCCTACCATAGAAGTTCACACCACAAAGTCAGTAAATCAAGACAGATCAATTTAAGAAGCAGGAGCAGAAGAGAAGAAATTCACAAATAATGGGAAGACAAAGAAACACCCCCCAGTCGAAGGGAAAGGAGGGATCCCTGGAAAGAACTAAATGGCATAGAAGCAAGTCAACTATGAGATATTGAGTTCAAAACAATGGTTCTAAGGAAACTCAGTGAGCTCAGTGAGCTCAGAGAGAATTACAAAAAACTACAGGGAAACTGTGAGGAACTTACTGCAAACTATATCTGCATGAAAAAGGACATAGAAACTATCAATAAGAGACAAGAGAAAATGAAGAATACAATTCCTGAATTGAAGAACACAGTAGAAAGCATCTAAAGCAGGCTAAATTAAGCAGAGGATCAAATCAGTGAGCTGGAGGACAAGGTAGAAAAAATCTCCCAGAAAAAGCAAGAAAATGAAAAAAGACTCAAAGAAAATGAAAAGGTGTTCAGGGAAATGCAGGACAACCTGAAACATAATAATAGTAATAATATCCGTATACTAGGGATAGCAGAAGGAGAAGAGGAGCAAGGGATAGAAAACCTGTTTGAAAAAATAATGATGGAAAACTTCCCTAATTTAAGGAGAGAAAAAGTTACCCAAGTTCAGGAAACACAGAGATTCCCATACAAGAGGAAACCAATGAGTCCCACTCCAAGACACATCATCATTAAAATGGCAAATATCAAAGACAAACAGAGAATCCTAAAGGCAGCAACGGAGAAAGAGGTAGTAACATATAAGGGAGACCCAGTACAGTTAGCAGCTGACTTCTCAACAGAAACACTGCAAGCCAGAAGGGAATGGCAAGAAATATTCCAAGCCATGAAAAGCTAAGGCCTACAACCAAGACTGCTCTACCCAGCAAGGCTCTCAATTAAAATGCAAGGCAAAACAAGGGGTTTCCCTGACAAAAGAATGCTAAAATAATACATCTCCACCAAACCAGCATTGCAAAATATGCTAAAGGGACTGCTTTAAGAAGATGAAGATAAAGAGTCTATGAATACCCAGTTCCTTTCACTGTCACCAATACTTGATATTATCAATATTTTAAATACTTATTAATCTGATTGTGACAATGATGTGTTATTTTAATTGTTACTTTATTATTTATTGAAACTAAACCTGTTTTTTATATTTCTTGCCTATTTCTATTATTTTTAAAAAGCTTTAAATGACTTTTTGGTATTCTTTATCCATTTTTTTATTGTTTGTATAATTTTTTCCCTAAAAAAATAAAAACAAAACTATTAACCCTTTTTAGATGTGTTGCAAATACTTTCCTATTCTATCACTTGTCCTTTAACTTTTTTTATATATGTATAACTATATAGTCTTAAATGTTTAATATAGTCATATTGTCAATATTTTACTTTATAGTTTCTGGGTTTGAATATGTAACTTCAGGGTAAGAAAAATATTATTTTGAATTTTCTCCTAAAACTCCTTAGATTTTACATATTGGTTTTTACCTTACATGAATATTTCTTGTATAATGTGTGAAATAGGGCTCTATATTTGTTTCATTTCAAGTAATAGTGGTCCATGCACCTTATTTGTTGAATAAGCCTTATTTTCCCCATTGATTTGAAATATCAATTTAATCATATATTACATTGTTAGATATAAACATTTGTTTCTAGAATGCTCATTTTATTTCATTGATCTACTTGATTATTATTGTGCTGGTGTCATGTTGTTTTAATTTCTGAAACTTCATAATGGATTTAAATTTTTAAATATTTTATAATGGATCTTGATGTTTAAAAAAATAAATAAAATCAATCCACATTTAAAAAAATAAAAGAAAGGAAGGAACTCCTACCTTTTGCTACATCATGGATGGAACTGGAGAATATTATGCTAAGTGAAACAAGCCAGTTGTTGAAAGACAAATACCATATGATCTCACCTGTAAGTGGAGTCTATTCAACAAAATAAACTGATGAACAAAATAAACCACAGGCAAGGAAACATGGAACAGACTGAAAGTGACCAGAGGGGATGGGGAAGGAGAACAATGGTGGAAAGAAGGAGAAGGGACTAAACAAAGAACATGTATGAATGACCAAAGGACATGGACAACAACAGAGTGGGAATTAACTGTGGGAGCAGGGGTGTGGGATGGGATACGTGGAGGAGGGTAAAGAGGGAAAAATTGAGACAATTCTAATAGGATAAACATGATTTAAAGAAAGGAAAGGAAAGGAAAGGAAAGGAAGGAAGGAAGGAAGGAAGGAAGGAAGGAAGGAAGGAAGGAAGGAAGGAAGGAAAGGGAAGGGAGGGGAGGGGAAGGGAAGGAAAAGAAAGGAAAGGAAAGGAAAGAAAAGAAAAGAAAAGAAAAGAAAAGAAAAGAAAAGAAAAGAAAAGAAAAGAAAAGAAAAGAAAAGAAAAAAGACAAGACAAGACTTTCTAAGCAGATAGCTTTCCTTCAGCTTTCTGGATGAAGACCAATCCAGCATTCTCCCGAGATTAGCTCCTAAGAGACATGCTGGCTCATTTTATTTCATTGATCTAATCGTTTATTTCTGTGCTGGTTGATTTAATAGCTGTTTTAGCCACTGTAGCAAAGAGCTGCCCAGGGCTTCCTGCACCCACCTAAGTGCAGGCCACAGAGGAGGCTATCAGACCACGCTGCCCTTCACAGCAACTCCAGTACTTTCAGATCCACTTCAGCATCACAGCTACCACCATCTTCTTTTAATTATCCCTGTGTCTATCTTCACATTAGATATACCAGGAGGAAGGCTGAGGTCTCTCTAGTTTCAGGAAATAAGCTGAGGCCATTGTAAATCCCCTCCTCCCACAGTGTTGCAGCAAGGATTCTTGGCTCTGAATTCTTTAAGGGAGTGGGGTATAGGGTCTCTTCTGTAGCTGCTTCCTGCAGAAGACGGTCAGAGATTTCCTTCAGAGCCAAGTGATCCTTGCTCTCTGTTAGAGAGACTGGGTATGAGGCCTGGGCATGAAAGGAAGTTGCCAGGGTGTCTAAAGTGGGCAATGGGTTGTATTTCCAGAGTACAAGTAGGGCTTGTAACAATTTCAGGAGACACACTTCTCATAAAATATAAAACATTCATTAACAGCTCCAAATCTCCTTCCTAGTTTCTCTCTCCGTTGCCCAATTTATATTGGGGCCAGGCTGTATTGCAAAAGAAGATGAGCTTTTCTTTTTCTTGAGGGATTCACAGTCAAATTTCTCCCATTTGACAAGTGTTGCAATTATTTGTAAATTGTAAACCCTATGCTGTAGTCTCAGTAAAAGTTAAGCAGAACTTCTCAAGGTGTGTCTGAGGAACAGCTATTTTACTAATGAATGGTTCTGTGGTCTCCATCTTATCAAAAACAAACAAACAAACAAACAAACAAACAAACAAAAAACACCCTTACATAATTAATACAGATGAACATTTTCCCTATAGTTAGTAAACAGCAACCACCAGACTTCAAGTCTCATTATATGTGTATCCATGTGTGTATAAAGATCACTGAAATAAAAGTCTCCTGAAACAATTCTTAACCTTATTGTGTGTGATGCATACTGTTATTCTGTATTCTAACCTATATATCTGGGTTTTTTTTTTTTTAGTGCTGGCTGGGACCCCCATATTTTGACTACATTCCCCGCTAATGGATGCCACATCACAGTTGAAAAATATTGCACCAGAGTTATGGGATATAACACTATAGCCATTCTCCACAGGTTGATACGTGTCTAATCTGAACTGGGATTGGCCATCAGTGTAAAATTCACACAGGACCTTGAAGACTTTGCATAAAAAAAAATGAATGTAAGGTACATCAATATTTTTTTCTATTGATTTTATGTTGAAATGGCAATACCTTGGATATTTAGGTTAAATGCAATATATTTTTAAATTTATATATTTAAAAATTTTGCTTCTTTTTACACTTTTAATGTGGCCACTAGGAAACTTTTAATTACATTTATAGCTCACATTATAATTCTGTTGGAAAGCACTTTATAGAATGTATTTGCAGGTGGAGACTTTCGGAGGTAATTAGGTCATGAGGGAGGAGCCCCCATGAGTGGGATTAGTGCCCTTACAAGAAGAGGTCAGAGCTGGCTCATTCTCATTCTGCCATGTGAAGACAGAGTGAGAAGTTGACAGTCTGCAACGTGGAAAAGAGTCCTCACCAGAATCTGACCATGCTGGTACCCAGATTTTGGACTTCAAGCCTTGAGAACTGTGAGAAATAAATTGCTGGGTTGTTTGTTTTTTTTTTATATAAGCCACTTAGACTCTGGTATTTCATTATAGCAGCCCAAGTTGGCTAAGATATGGTTTGATGTTTCAGTATGATCCAGAATCCTTTACATGAGCTAGTTCCATTATGTAATTTTATTGGAACCAAATAGCAAATATATTTTATATATATGCAATTATATACATATATAGCAAATATTTATATATACAATTAGTATTAAAGCACATTAACCACTGTATATACTAACTCACTTGAACTGGATGGCAGAAACTCTAACACCAGTCAGTTATTCATCATTAATGCCAGACAGACAGTTCCCTTCAGGTTATTAGCTCAGGTATGCTAGCTAATTTGGCTGGAGGTTGGAGTTGCTAAAATTAACTAGCTAGCATATATAAGGGGTGAACACATCCTCCATATGTGAAATTAAGAGTATAAAAAAAAAGAATAAATTTTGAGGTTCTTGATACATACTACAGCTGAAAGACAGTAACCTGAGGCCATAGAGCAAATGCAAATGATTGCTCCCATGTCATTAGAAGCTTGTTTAGAAGGGGAGGGAAAAGATTTTCTATGGTCCACTTGGAATGGGAGGTTGATTCCTGGGACCAGGAATGGGACTTCATCTGGAGGAAACCATGTTTGGATTCAGATAATTTCCTGGCAATTCTTAGAGAGAAGATACATACAGAGGGCCCTTAGGAACCCTGTGCTGATTAACAGGGCCTCCTGGGGTATGGTCCTACACACATCCTATGAACACAGAAACTGTCCTAAATCAGGACTCAAGAAAGGCTGATAAAGATTGATATGTATTGTTACTGTTTAACTTTTACTATCAGTATAAAAGAAAAGCATTTTGGAAGGGTCTTTTTTAAGTTGTACTGTCCAACCTATTCAACTGACCTGGCAGGCGAAAGAGAAATGAAGCCCCCAATTTCAATCCCCTCCCTTTAGGGCCTGGTCCTTCTTTGTAGAGATCACCACCAGATTATAAAATCTTGGCCTTGAGAACTGGAATATTTCAGAGAGGATAGGCTATTGCCATCATCAACATCATCATCACTATCATTTAGTGCTTAATTTGTCTCCAGCATTGTGCTGAACCCTCACCACACGTTACCTTATTTAAATCTTGCCTCATCACTGTAAAGGAGGTATACTTAACATCAGTGCTTTACAGATGAAGAAACCAAGCCTAACAGATAGTAAGTAACAGAGCCCGATCTAAACTACTTCTGCCTGAACCAAATCTCCATGATCTTAAACACTACCCAATTTTGCCTCCTCTATTATCCAGGATGACTCCAGGCAGAAGACTAACAGAGCTCAAGTCATGTATCTGGGCCGTCAATTCCTTCAACCTTTTATGCCTAGCTGTTTTGAAATATAATCATGATTGTGTATATACATGCCTGTGTTGTACATTTAATTTGATAATAACACTAATTTTTTGCTACGTAGGCTTAGTTTTCATGTTTAGTTTCTCAAGTAACATATTTGGATACACATAGGTTTTCTAAAAGGAGATATTAGCTGCTTTTTATTTAGAGTAATATTTTAATGTAATCTGTCTACCTTATAGTTCAAAAATTTCTGACCACCTGGCTGCTTTTTGGGTTGATCTGAAGTGGCATGGTTTAGAAACCTTGACTGGAGTTCCGGTTCCTTCACTAGCTAGCTCTGTGATCCCGGAAACATCATTTAATCTTTTTCACCTTTATGATCTATAAGGTGTTAGTGTCTAGTTCTTACATTCAATGGCTCTGATCTGTCTTGTAAACATTTCTCAAGACATTAATTACATACCATCTAAAAAAGATATGACAGATAAAAGTTCAAAAAACAATAAAATTAACTATTTGCCATATTAACTGTTCAAGTCTACTGATTTTGAGTTGTTTCTCCCACTCCAATATCCTTCATTTCCCTGCAAATCCTCAGTACAGATTTTGACTTTCAAAGAAAAGTTTTCTGACCTCTACAAAAGCAACAATAATTTCCCTTTTCTAAACTACTAAAAACCTTAGAGTTTACATCACATAACATACCCACTTGATTCCAGGTCACTTATGCATTTCTTTATTATTTTTAATAAAGTTCATAATTTCCAATTATATTTTAACCTTTCATTCAGTCACTCATTCAGCAAATATTTACTGAGCACCTACAAACATGCAGGGAACATTCTAGTGGCTTGAGAGAGTGATTGTTTTCTATATCATTTGTAACCCCGCAAGATCTAATACAATGATTGTTGAATATACCTGTGGATATTTATTCATATATATTTGTGTTTGGGTATCCTCTATTAGTTCCAAAAGAGATTTGAGGGTGAAATGCTTAATAAATATTTGTAATGACAGGTTTTAAAGGCTGGGTCAAAAACTTCAGAAATTGAATGCTCCCTCCGAGCCCTCCCAGGAAGAATCCTTTTCTCTATTCCAGCCTCTACCTCCTTAAGTAAACCTGTTCTCCTTACACAATGAAGAAGGCAGGTAAGGAATCCAAGGAGGACAGAGAAGTCCTGAAGCAAAGTCTTCATTTACACCACATCAAGAAAATGATCTTTTCATCTAACTGCATCAACAGAGTTCTATTCACTCTCAATGTATATTTCACTAAATTAACTTGAATTTCCCATAAGGTTCATTAAATTTATATTTGAACTTCACATACATGGTCATTGATCACACTGTCATTATTTACAGTCTTGTCACACACTTAGTAATCATCCCAGTGTACTTACTGCCTTAGGACATTTCTGAGATGCTGGTGTCACTATGTCGTCACTGTCTGTAGTTTGTGCTTCACTGGCTTCAGAAGCCTGTTCACAGGATTCTTTATCTGCTAAAAAAGAAGCTGGACTTACAGGACTGTTTCAGAGGACCCTGTCTACCCCAAGAAAAGACCCTGTACCTACAACCTCAATCTACTGCCTGGTCACTAGTTCTGAGTACTTAGATTTTGGCTGTGTTTATTAAGAATCAAATCCTCTTTTTCAAAGATACACTTATTCTGAAGCTTGCCGAACACTCAGAGTTCACTTGAAAAAAGGAAAGGGAAAGAAGGAAGAGTGAGGAGAAGGAAGGAAGGAAGTGGGGGAGGGAAGGAGGGAGGTTGTTCATCCTTTTGTAGAAGCTGAAGGAAGCGACCAAGACCAGGAAAAGGAGAGCAATCAGGGTATGGAAGTTTGCATTTTCCAAAGACAGCTTCAAACAGTATCTCCTATCCCACACAGTCTCTTTACAATGTGACTTTTGACACATTTTATTGGCCATTTCCTTTTTGTAGAGTGCATTTTAAATCTTTTGCTCATTTTCTTATTAGGTTTGTCTTTTTTTCTTACTGATTTGTAGGAGTTCTAGATATTTTCTGAATTTGAGCCCTTTTTTTGATTACATGTGTTACAAGTGTCATTTCCACTCTGTAACTTGCCTATTTAATCTCTCACTGAACAAAAGTTCTTACTTTTAAGGTAGTCAACTTTGTCAATGTTTTTCTTTCTTTTCTTTTTAAAAAATATTTTACTTATTTACTTTTTTATTAGAGAGAAAGGAAGGGAGGGAGAAAGAGAGGGAGAGAAACATCAATGTGCAAGAGATACATCAGTTGATTGCCTCTCGCATGCCCCCAACTGGGGAACCTGACCCGCAACCCAGGTATGTGCCCTGACTGGGAAATGAACCTGAGAACTTTCAGTTCACAGGCCAGTGTTCAGTCCACTGAGCCACATCAGCCAGGGCTCAATGTTCTTCTCTATGATTCGTGCACTTGGTTTCTTATTAAAACTTTCCTTATTTTGAATAATGAATAATGCTATTATGAGTATTTGTGTACAAGGCTTTGAGTGCAGAAATGTTTTCATTTCTCTTGCACAGATACCTAAGAGTAGACTTGCTGGGTTGTAAACTATGTTTATATTTTTTTCTTTTTCTGTTTTCTATGTAATATAGGCCACAAAATAATAGTGAACTATATGTTTAGTGATATAGCCCACTGTGGAGTGTGGTCTTCTTTATTCTCCCTAATAGCTCAAGTTGGTAAAGATTATTAAAAGACCATCCTCTCCAAAAAATTCTGTTGAACATTTTAAGAAACAGCCAAATATTGTTTTCAAAGTGGCTGTACTACTTTACATTCCCAACAGTAATGTGTGATTCTAATTTTTCCACATCTTCACTAACACTTGTACCATCAGCTTTGGGAACATATCAATTCTAGCTTCTTGAAGTGGTATGTACTGGTGTCTTGTTGTGGTATTATTTTATATTTTTCCTAATGACTAATGATGTTGAGCATCTTTTTGTATGCTTATTAGCTATTCATTTATCTTCTTTAGTGAGAGTATACTCAAATCTGTTGACCATTTAAACTTAAGTTGTCTTATTATTGAGTCATAAGAGGACTTTATAGATTATAGATATAAGTTCTTTATCAGAAATGTGATTTGCAAATATTTATTCTTAGTCAGTAACTTATCTTTTCATTTTATTAATGGTGTCCATTGAAGAGCAGGCATACACTTTTTACTTTGCTAAAGTCCAATTTGTCAATTTTTATTTTATGGATCATGCTTCTGCTATCATATCTAAGAACACTTTGTCTAATCTAAGGTCAAATATTTTATCCTGTGTTTGCTTTTACTAATGTTAAACTTTTGGTTTTAATATTTAGATTTATGGTTTATTTTTGTTTATTTTCTGTATAATGTGAGGTAAGGGTCTAAGTTTTTGTTTTCTTTCTGTATGTAGATATTTGATTTCAGTACCATTTACTGGAACTTCCCCATTCAAGATTTCCCCATTGAATTGCCTTGGAATCTTGATGGAAAACAATTTGACCATAAATATAAAGATTTATTTCTAGTTTTACAATTCTTTTTCACTGATCTATAAGTTTCAATTTATGTTAATACCACACTGTCTGAATTACTGTAGCTTTATATTAAGTTTTAAGTCAATTAGTACAGCCCACATCAGTGTGGCTCAGGGGATTGGACATTGTCCCACAAAGCAAAAGATTGCTGGTTCAATTCCCAGTCAGGCCACATGACTGGGTTGCAGGCCAGATATTTCTCTCATACTTTGGTGTTTCTCTTCCTCTTTTTCTCCCTCCCTTCCCCTCTCTCTAAAAATCAATCAATAAAATGTTTTTAAAAATAAAATCAGTTTAATATAAAAACTTCAACTTTGTTCTTTTTTTTACACAATTTTTTTGGCTATTCCAGGTTTTTTGCATTTCTATATAAATTATGAGTGGTCCAGTTCATACATATGGTACATTTCTCCATTTGTTTGAATCTTTCCTAATTTCTCTCTTGTAGTTTTTCATATACAGGTCTTTTGTTAAATTTATTCCCACTAAATATTTTATTCTTTTGGATAATATTGTGAATAAAATTGTTTTTTGATTTCATTTTTAGATTATTCACTGATAGTATATATAAATGTAATTGATTTTGAAATATTGATTTACACCCTACAACTTGTTTACTTGCCTTTGATTCTAGGGCTTGTTTGTTTCTTTCATTTTTTGTAGATTTCTTATGATTTTCTAAATACAAGATGATATCAATTGCAAATAAAGACAGCACTACTTTATTTCCAATCTGTATGATTTATTGCAATGACTAAAACCTTCACTACAATGTTCAACAGGAGTGGTGAAAGCAGACATCCTTTCTTTGTTCTGTCTTAAGAAAAAAGCATTCAGTCTTTTACCACCCAAGTGGGATGTTAGCTACAGCCTTTTTTGTTCTTTACTAGCCTAGAGCAATTTTCTTCTATTCCTAGTGGGAATTGGCCAGTGTGGCTCAGTCGGTTGGAATGTCATCCTATAAATCAAAAGGTTGTAGGAAATGAACTAGCAACAATGCCCAATCAACTGAGCCACACCAATCAGGCCATAGTCTTTATTTTTTTATAGGTCAATGTTGATCTTCTATTTCTTCTTGATTCAATTTGGATAATTTGCAACTTTCTAGGAATTTTTCTTTTCCATCTAAATTGCAAAAAGTTGTTCATCATATAAATTTACAGTCCTTTTAGGTGTAGGGTCTTTAACAACTGTACATTCATTCCTGATTTTGCTAACTACTGTCTTTTCTTTTTTTTCTTTATCAACACACCAGTTATCAATTTGTTGCTTCTCAGCTCAAAATAAAAACTTCACTGTCTGCTCTGCAATAATGGAGGTGGACCCTGTAAATATGTCTTCTTTGCCAGCTGGCACTATGTTAAGTTTTGTCAGCAGAGGGCATTGAAAGATCACTGGAGAAGAGAAAGATGTCTCTTCCTGGTCCGAGTGTGCTCACTTAGACAGGTTCCTGCAGCAGGTGTGGACTCAGCAGACCAGGCTCCTGCACCTTAGGGCCTGCCTCCAGCAGCACACATGATTTCCTGCAGAACACAATTCTAGCAGCATGTGGTTTCTGTGGCTTCTGCAATACCCAATTCCAGTGGCTGGTAGCACACGGGGTTCACAGTGAAATGCCACTGGTTTGGCACCTGTTTGTGAGTGGTTTACTGCCAACATTCCAGAGGGAACTTGACAGTTCCAGTTCCTCTGAGTTCTTTTTTTTTTTTAAGTATTTTATTTATTTTATTTATTTTTAGAGAGGGGAAGGGAAGGAAAAAGAGAGGGAGAGAAACATCAACGTGTGGTTGCATCTCGTGCACCCCCTGCTGGGGACCTGGCCTGCAATCCAGGCATGTGCCCTGCGCTGGGAATTGAACCAGCAACTCTTTGGTTCGCAGGCTGGTGCTCAATCTCTGAGCCACATCAGCTAGGGGCTCCTCTGAGTTCTGATGTGCAGCCACAGCAAACTTCTCTTGACTTCATTCCCTCTAGCAAGATCTGGATTTCAGCCCAGAAGGAGGTTTTCTACCAGATCCATATGTTATTTTGGGCTCTATCTCAGCTCCCGGGGAGAATTGGGGATTTGTGGATGCCCTTTAAATCTGTTATTCAGGTATTCTTTAGAGTTCTCTGGCCTCCTTATTAGTCAATCCTCATCTCTCCAGTTCAATCCCCTGTTATAGATAATAACTCTTTATATTAAACTCTTCTTGTTCAAATTACTATGTAGTTTCTGTCTCATGGTTGGATCAAAATTAGTGCAGACATTCTAGATAAAGACAAGTCATGTCTGTTGATCTTCCCAAACAACTTTGGCTTCATTGATTTTTCTCTCTTTTGTTTTTTTTTCTCTTTTCTATTTCACTGATTTCTGCTCTGATCTTCATTGTTTTATTCTTTGGGTTTGACTTTATTTTCTTTTTCTAGCTTCTTGAAGTAGAAGATGGGTTATTGACTTTAGATCTTTATTCTTTTCTATTTTTATAAGCATTTCAAGCTATAAAAATCATCTTACAAGCACTGTTTCAGTTGCACTCCATAGGTTGTGGTATAATGTGTTTTCATTTTCATTCAGTTAATATATCTTCCAATTTTCTTAAGGGAGAACTCCTTAGGAGTTCTTCTTTGATGCAAGTATTATTTAGAAGCATATTGATTAATTACCAAATATTAGTTATTTCCTAATTAGCTTTCTATGGCTGCTGTCACAAAATATCACAAATTTGGTGGGTTAAAACAATAGAAATTGACAAGAAATTTTTGTCCTGCAGCCAGTGAAAATGTTCATATTGTCACCCAGGGGTATGAGACGCCGATCCCACTCTGTAATTCTAAAATGTTTGCAAGGCCATTTCCACACACGGTGGTACTGCACAGCCCTGAGGGCATTGGGAAAACCACCCTGGAAAAGAAGTTTGTGTTGCATCAGCTACAGGACAATCTCATAAAACCATTCAATGCTGCCTTCCCTCTCAACTGCGAAGAACTCAGCCACAATGGGTCATGCACTTTTGCAGAGCTGTTCTCCAAGAACAAGCCCAAATTGCAGGATGGCTTTCCAGAGATCCTAGCCCAAGCATAGAAAATCTTGTTCATTATTGTTTTCCATGGGCTGAGAGCCCCCTTGTGGGGACTTATCTATGATATATGTGGTGACTGAAAGAAGCAGAAGCTGGTGCCCATTCTCTTGCATAGTTTTCTGAAGAGAAAATTGTTACCCAATGCCATTTTACTGATCACCATGTGACCCACGGCTCAGAGATCCCTGACTCTTGATTAAACAGCTCCTCTTCATAGAAATGAAGGAGTTCTTAGAGCTGGACAGGAACACATATTTCTTGAAATACTTTAAAGATGAGGATCAAGCACTCTGATTTTTCACCTTGATGAGGAGCGATGCATCCCTGTTCCATATGGGCCTGGCTCCCTCCATGTGCTGGATCACCTGCACCTGTCTAAAGCTGCAAGTGGAGAAGTGAGAAGGATCCTGCCCTGACTTGCCAAATCACCACATTGCTCTTCCTATGTTTCCTCTACAACCAGTTCACGCAAGAACCCGGCAGCTGTCTTACTCGGTACCTCCAAGCTCCAATGAAGGCTCTGTGTCTCCTAGCTGCTGAGAGCATGAGGACACAGACATCTGTGTTTGATGGAGAAGACTCAGGAGACTTGGGTCAAAGGAGTCTGATCTACCTCCTTTCCTGGACAAGAATATCCTCTAGAAGGGCAAAGACTGTGAGGGCCGCTATTCCTTTATCTATCTCACATTCCAGCACTTTCTTGTCATTATGTTCTATGTTTTGGAGAGTGAGGAGCAGGAAAACAGAGACAACCTCCAGTGGGACATTGGGGATGTGCAGAAACTGCTATCCAAGGAAGAAAGACTAAAGAATCTCAAAATGACCCAAGTAAGGTATTTCTTATTCAGCTTCTCAAATGAAAAAAGAGCCAAGAGGTTTTGACTGCCAAATGTCTATGGAGGTCAAAAGGGACTTACTAAAATGCAAACAAAGCACAGTCCAATGAGCACAAACACTTCTCCTCAATGATGGACATGAATGTGGTTTTTCACTATCTTTACAAATCTCAGAAGGAGCAGCTTGTGAAGGATGCAATGGGCTAAGTCAAGGAAATGTCCCTGCATTTGAAAAATAAAATGAACATCGTGCACTTGTTCTGCCTCAAACATTGTTAAAACTTGCAGAAAATGTTGCTCCAAGTAGGAAAGCAG